CTTCGCTCACTTGCCCACCACTCACCCCCTGCTGTGCAACCTTGTTTCTAACAGGACAGAGACAATATCAGTATATAGCCCAGGGATTGGGGACCCCTGATCTACTTTGTCCAGTGAAAACTGAAAGTGTAAAATTGGCGAACTGTATCAATGTCAATTTTCTGGTCATGATGTTGTACTAGAGTTATGCAAGATATTGCTACTGAGAGAAACTAAAGGGCATTTGAGATTTCTGTATTATTTCTTACAATAGCATGTTAAGTTACAATGATCTCAAAATAGAAAGTTTAATCAGAAAGAAAACTAAAACCGTCCTCCAAAGATAGTATCTCCAGACTTATTTTATACCTTTTTGAGGGACAATGCAATACTTTGGACAATGCAACAAGAAAACTGAAGGCTAAATTAATAATTATTATTTCACAATTACTTTATCCATTTAGGCATTTCATCTTTCTTCTGTTGTCCTATTATTTTTGTATTTTTTAATTGTAGCTTGGAATTATTGAGTAATGATGAAATAATTCACAGAATGATAAAATAGCAAAATATTTTAACATGTACAGAAAGATCCGAAAAGATAGCTTAGATTATAAAGGGATCCAATGGGCTCATATGGTAATCATAAGATAGAATGAGCCTTATTACACATATATGAAAATTTATAAATATATAATTTATACATTTAATACATAAATACATTTATAAATATATATAATTTATAAATAAAAATTTTATCTTGATCCTTTGAAAGATCTCTAATAAAGAACAAAAGTCATTGAAATACCAATCCTTACAAATATTTAGAACCCCTCTATAAAGAAACTCAAATTAAAATTGAGAGTAGCAGTCCACAGTGGTGTACTGAGAATTAAGATAGAAATCCAAACCGTTAGCAGAGCCTACAAGGCCCTACATGGTCTCATGCCTGACACCCCCACCTTCTAAGCCTCTTCCTGCATTTCACTGTCTCTGCTCCAGCCACACTGGCCTCTGTTCCACGTTCAGTATTGCCACGGACCACTGCACAAGCAGGGGAAATCTTTGCTGAGCCCCTAGTTCAGGTCAGTTTCCTTTTCATAAGCTCTTACAAAACTGTTGATTACCTTTGGAGTACTCATCTACATTTGTAATGATTCACTCACTAGTGGCCTTTATTGATTGATTAATGCCTGTGTCCTCTCAGTAGGCCAAAAGCCCCATGAGAGGTGGGCCTGTTTTCACACCACCGTATCCACAAATGTCAGCATTTACCTTCTCTCCTTCTTGAGACTGCTCTAAAATTATGTAAAGGAATTAAAGCACCAAGAAGGGATCAAAATAACAGGATGTGAGCCCAACGTAGCCTGTAGATGTGCAATGTTGTCGCTTAGTACTTAGAAAAACATTTCACTGGCTGGGCACCGTGGCTTACAATTGTAATCCCAGCACTTTGGGAGGCCGAGGCGGGTGGATCACCTGAGGTCCGGAGTTTGAGACCAGCCTGACCAACATGGTGAAACCCCGTCTCTACTAAATAAAAAATAAAAAAAAAAAAATAGCTGGGTGTGGTGCTGCATGCCTGTAATCCCAGCTACTTGGGAGGCTGAGGTAGGAGAATTGCTTGAACCCAGGAGGTGGAGGTTTCAGTGAGCCAAGATTTTGCCATTGCACCCCAGCCTGGGCAATAAGAGTGAAAACTCCATCTAAAAAAAAAAAGAAAAGAAAAAAAGGAAAATATTTCACTTTACTTAAAAATCAGTAATTTTTACACCAAGATTTAAATTTCTGGCTTCTCTTGATTTTATATATATATATATAATTTATATATATATATATTGGACCCACGTTCCCTTGAACTGTCTAGAGCTAGCAGTAACTGCCCCAACTCACTTCTTCCTAAAATTTGCTTCTCAAATTTGCTCCATACCTTGCCTCAGGGATGGTGCTGTTATCTCCAAAGAGCCCCACAGAGGCCTGGACCTGAAAATTACTGTGCTCTTCAGGGATTATGGTAGATATTTATTTATTTATTTGAGATGGAGTTTCGCTCTTGTTGCCCAGGCTGGAGTGCAATGGCATAATCTTGGCTCACTGCAACCTCCGCCTCCTGGGTTCAAGCAATTCTCCTGCCTCAGACTCCTGAGTAGCTGGGATTACAGGTGCCCACCACCATGCCCGGCTAATTTTTTGTGTTTTTAGTAGAGACGAGGTTTCACCATGTTGGCCAGGCTGGTCTCAAACTCCTGACTTTAGGTGATCCACACGCCTCAGCCTCCCAAAGTGTTGGAATTACAACCTCTGCCTCCCTGGTTCAAGCAATTCTCCTGCCTTAGCCTCCCAAGCAACTGGGATTACAGGCATCCACCACCACATCTGGCTAATTTTTTGGATTTTTAGTAGAGATGAGGTTTTGCCATGTTGGCCAGGCTGAACTCCTGACCTCAGATGATGCACCCGCCTCGGCCTCCCAAAGTGCTGGGATCACAGCTGTGAGCCACCATGCCCAGCCATGGTAGATATCTTAAATGTTTGCTGAAAGGATAAAGTTGCGAAGACAAGCCCCTATGAGGTAACACCTAGCTGCAGTGCCACATACGAACACAAGGTGACAGTGTGCTCTCAGGAAGCGGCAGAAACCCAGCACAGCTGGTGATGATCTGTAGTAAAAAGGATGACTTGTCCCACCCAACTGCCAGAGAGGGCAACTACCAAAGACTAACAGCAACATAGCATGTGTCCTAGAGGGTCACCGGGGAAAAACTAAGAAGGAAGGAAGCTTCAAGGCCAGGTACCCAGCACAGCAGAGACGGGACTGCTGGGAGGGAACTAAATTTACCCCGGTCTTTGCTGTTCTTAGCATGATCCACTCTTACCCTGAGCGCTGAATTTCAAGGCCATGAAGCCATGGTCAAGAGACTTGACTGGGAATGGGCCTTGAGCTTTCAGTGACTCCCTTCTAAATCTAGAGCAGTGGTTCTCAAAGTGTGGTCTCTGCACCAGCAGCATCAGCATCACTTGTCAGAATCTGCAGAAATGCAGATTCCCAGGCCCCGCCCACCCCTACTGACCCAGACACTCTGGGACGGAGCCCAGAAACTTATGTATGACCGGATCCCTGGGTGGTTCTAAAGCAGCTAAATGTGAGGACCACTGCTCTAAAGTCTCATTTTCCATCTCTTCCCACAGCCATACCCGGTGAATCCCAATCCTCCCGATACACAGACCTCAACACTCCTGCCTCTAGTGAGTCTGAAACGTCCATCTCTTCCTCTGCTGCTTTGCTCTTATTCTGCCTTTGGGACTCAACTCAAGCCTCCCTTCTTTTGGAACACTGTGTTAGACTCCCCAAGCTGATTTAGATAGTGCTCCTCCCAGCCTCTGCCTTCTCTCTCTTAGCAATCATCAAATGATGCTTTTAACTGTTGGCTGCTGAATGCCTTGCTCACCACAGTGTGAGCTGTCTTGAACATTCCAGTGCCTGGCCAACAGAATTTTGCATATTTATTTAATGAAATAATAAACTACCATCATTTGGTTGGCAGCTTTAAAAAGGGTAATAACATCTTTTTCACCTACAGTAGAATTTTATATACACACATATCCTAACTTAATTTTATATACATATTTAAAATATATAGAATATAATATTAATAGGTTCTATATATAATTACATGCAGATTATAAGCTCCCTGCAAGTCTAAATTTCAAAACTATGCTCTGCTGTTTCTGACATTTGTAGGACGGGCCAAGGAATTCAACAATCAATAGCAAGAGCCATTTAACCGAATGGAAAAAAAAAAAAACCAACAAGGAGCTTCCTGAGCAGGGGTGTGTACAGACCAGTGCCCTCTCAATGTCTGTCTCCAGGTCTCATCCCTCTCTATGTCTGTCTCAGCTCTCGGTGGGGGAGGGCTCCCAAGCTGCAGGATGATGACATGTTGACTATGCAGCTCTGAGTGCTTAACACTGGATAAATTCCACTGTCACAGAGCTGGCCTAAGGCGAAGGTGGTACTGCACATTCTGGCAGGCATTCCACAAAGGCACCTGTAGTGAGTCTCCACCACCAAGTTCTCAGAGTTTTTTGGATAATTCATGATCACAGAATACAAGGTCAATATATAAATGTCAATGCTATTTGCATATACTAGCAACAGTTGGAAATTAAATAAGCAATACCATTTACAACAGCATCAAAAATATCAACTGCTTAGAAATAAATCTGTCCAAAGACATGCAAGGCTTGTGCATGTGAAAACTACAAAACTGCTGAGAGAAATTAAAGAAGTTCTGAAGAAATGGAGAAATTGACTGTGCTCATGGATTGGAAGACTCAATTTTGTTGAGACTGCAAATATTAATTAATACTTTGAAGTTTCAATTTGCTTTACCCCTGCCTTGTCTTACTGTCTTCTATTTGTCTTTGTATTGTCAATGTCTAGCTCTGTGCCAGGTACAAAGTAGTCTGGTGTTCACTGAATACATGAACAAGGAATAAGGATTCAATTCCTCATACAGAATATATTAATAAATATAGGAAGAGATCTCAAGTACCTGAGAGTGCAATAAAAGGCTTCCTTCAAGATACATTAGGAATTCTATAAGCTGTGATGGGAGCAGGAACAGAAGTCCTGTGATGAGTAAAACTGTATTTATCTGCTATAGCTTGGGGGTCAGTTTGTGCAAAACAGTGATTGAAACACATATGGTCTGAACTCATGTACTGAAGGACTTTCTCACATTAGATATATTTAAGTAGCGGAGTTGACTTATTCAACATTTTAAAATATTTGTTGAACACCTGCTCTGGAACAAGGCTTGCACTCAACGCTGGGATCAAAGTGGTAAAGACAGGAACCATCCCTGCTTCAGCTATAAAACTGTAGTTGCTAACTTTGAGAACCATCTTTATTCTAGGCACAAAATCAAATTCTGTGTGTCTTTGTAACAGCCTGATGAGATCGTTGTTATTAAGAAATTCACTAAATGTGAAGAAACAGACTTAAAGAAACTAAGAAATTAGAGTCCCATTTTAAATGCAGGCCAAATGACTGAAAAAAATAGTATAATTAACAAAAAATTAAAAGTACACACTTAAAATGGTTTGATGAGTTTTGACAAACGTATACATTTTGACACCACCATTGAGATATAAAACATTCTCATCCTTCGAAACGATTCCTTTAATTCCCTTCCCAACCACTGATCTGCTTTCTAACATCGTAGTGTTTTCTAGTGTTTCTTATAGATGGAATTATACATTGTGTACTCAATTCTTCTTTGACTCAGCATGAATTTGGTGGTGCCCATCACTAATTCATTTTTATTACTGCTGAATTCAGACCTTTAGGGGAGAGAAGACATAAATCAAATAATCACCTAATTAAGTAATTACAACATCATAAAGTTAACCTAAGTACAACTGAAAATACATTACCTTGTTTGTTAACAATGCAATCAATATGACCTTGGTGTACAGTGTCGGGGGGCTATAGGGTCATGATTGAGCTTGTGGGAAATAAATGAAAATAAATGTTAGCGAAGAGTGACTCGAAAGAACCTCTGTCCTCACAGTAATTTTTTTAATGTGTCAGATGCTGGTGGGAGGCACTCTTCCTTAGCTCTTTACGCCCATCGCTTACACTTAACAGAGGAAAGGATCTGTGAGGCTGGTACCCCTTTCCTGCCCACTGTCGACGGCAACACCCTCTCCCTGCACCGCCACCGCCACACAGACGGCGGTGTGTGGGCAGCTCGGACGTGGCACCTGCCCTCAGCCGCCCAATCCCGTGCGCCGCGACGGTCACGTGCACAGCCACAGGCCTTTTTGCCCCGCCCCCGCGGCCCCGCTCTTGCGTGGGCCCGGCCCCGCCCACAGCCCGCGCAGTCCCGCGAGCCTGGCCTCGGCCGCCCCAGCTTCTAAGGAGCTCGCGAGGGCCAGGCTGCGCCTGCGTGGGGCGGCTGGTGGGCGGGGCGAGGGCCGCTAGGGCCGCGAAGTGGGGCTGCCCTGTGGGCTGCGAGCCGGGTCTGTACTGAGGGGCGCGGCGTCGCGGTGGGCCCCAGCCCGGCAACGGGAAGGCGAGCTCTCCTCCCCTCACCGCCCAAAGTAAACTTTGTCGCTCCTTCCGCGGCGCTCCCGAGTCCTCGCCGCCGCCGGGCCGCCGCGGTCCGCGAAGAGCTGTCCTGCGTCAGGGCCTCGTTCCCGGCCCCGGCCCCGGCGCGGGGCCTCTGCGCCATGGACGCCACGGCGCTGGAGCGGGACGCCGTGCAGTTCGCCCGTCTAGCAGTGCAGCGCGACCACGAAGGCCGCTACTCCGAGGCGGTGTTTTACTACAAGGTAGGGCCCGGCCCGCCGCTTTGGTCGGAGTTGCTCAGTCCGGAGTCCGGCTTGGGCCTGCGGCCGAGGGGCGGGGTCCAGGTGCCGAGGGAGCGGTCCCGGCTTTCCTTATCCCTCATTCGCTTCCCGGCCCTCCTCTTGTTGGGAGCGGCGAGCCAGACTGCAGAGGCCCACGCTGAGGCTGCGGAGTGGGGGGACTGGGTCGCGGCTTGCAGCCACCGCTTCTCCAGCTGTAGTCCTGACTGGCAGATGCCCACGGTTGAGCCGCTTTGGGGGGCAGGTGTTAGATGTGGGTAGTTAGTAGCCAATTCTTGCTGTCACGTGGCTTTGATTTACAGCTAGCGGGAAATGGCCTGTGATATATATCAAAATAATGCATGCTTGTTAAATTTAAAAAGAAAAACCATTTATCATATCATTTGATATACAGTCTTGCGTCCTTAGTGATCTGATATTTTCTGAGAAATATGTTCTTAGGCCGTTTTGTTCAGTGCTAACACCATAGAATGCGCTTACACTATCCTGAATGGTACAGCCTACTCCACACCCAGGCTGTATGGCATAGCCTGTTGCTCCTAGGTTACAGGCCTGCGCAGCATGTTACTGTACTCAATGGTGTGTGCAGTTACATGCAATGGTATTTGTGCATCTAAACATAGAAAAGGTACAGTAAACATGCAGCATAAAAGATAAAAAATACTACACCAGTTGTGGGGCACTTCCCCACGAAAGGAGCTTGCAAGACTGGAAGTTGCTCTGAGTTGGTGAGTAGTGGTGAGTGAATATGAAGGCCTAGGACATTCACTGCTCTACTCTACTGTAGCCTTTGTAAGCAGTGTACCCTTAGCCTACGCTAAATTTTTTAAAATTTTCTTCCTTCAATAAAAAATTAACCTTAGCTTACTGTAATCATTTTACTTTATAAACTTTTGAATTTTCTTTTTAACTTTTTTGTAATAGCTTAAAACAAACTTATTGTACAGCAATAGAAACTTTTTTTATATATCTTTATTTGGTAAGTTTTTTGTTTCTTTTTTTTTTTTTTATAACTCTTTAGTTAAAAACTAAGGTACACATTAGCCTAGGCATACACCGGGTCAGGATCATCAGTATTACTGTCTTCCATCTCCAATCTTGTCCCACTGTGAGATCTTCAGGGACAATAACAGGAATGAAACTGCCATATCCTATGATAACAGTGTCTCCTGAAATATCTCCTGAAGGACATGCCAGAGACTGTTTTATAGTTAACTTTTTTTATAATAGGAGTACACTAACAATACATAGTATAGCATAGTAAATACATAAACCAGTAACATAGTTGTTGATTATCAAGTATTATGTACTCTACTCTACGTAGTTGTATGTGGTAGACTTTTACACCACTGGCACCCTAGTAGGTTTGTTTATACCAGCATCACCACAAACATCTGAGTAAAGTGTTGTGCTATGACGTTTTGACCGCTATGACATGACCAGGCAGTAGGAATTTTTCAACTCCGTTATAATCTTATGGGACCACTATCATATATTAAGTCTGTTGTTGACTGAAATGTTATTTGGTGTGTGACTGTATATTTTTGTGTGTGGTTTTTTTTTGGTTTTTTTTTTTTTGCGTATGTGTATATACTTTTTTTTTTTTTTTACAAACTGGTTTATACTGTTTTTAGTAATAACTACACAGTAGTTCATTATGTGGGTGTACCATATTTTGTTTTTTTTAAGAGACAGGGTCTTGCCCTGTCACCCAGGCTGGAGGGCAGTGGCCCAGTAATAATAGCTCATTGCAGCCTCAAACTGCAAAACTCAAAATAATCCTCCTGCCTCAGTCTCCCAGTTAGTGGGACTACAGGTGGACACAACCACACCTGGCTAATTTTTTTTTTTTTTTGTAGAAATGGAGTCTCTCTGTGTTGCCCAGGCTGGTTTCGAACTCCTGGGTAAAGCGTTCTTCCCGCCTTAGTTTCCCAAAATGCTGGGATTACAGGCGTGAGCCTCCGTGCCTGTCCAGTTTACTATAATTAATTTACAGACTCTTGGGCATTCAGTTCATTTGTTTTTTCAACATCATAAGTAACGATGTAGTTCATATCCTTATAATTAATTCTTATGACTAGTGCAAATTTTTGCCTGAATTTTCTTTTGGATAAATTACCGGGGGCAGAATTGCTAAATCAAAGGGTATGAGCTTCTACAGTCCACTCTCTTCTCTCCAATTCTGAGGATTTGCAAATATACCCCTCCAGCTCTAGCTAGATTTGGAGGGAGCTGTGTCCTCATGATATTGTCACCTCTTCTTTTAGAAAGCGTATCAGACTTTGATAATACTGTACAGTACTAGTAATTTTTTTCATAAGTGTATGTGCTGTCAATAAAGTATGGTTTGTTTCAGATTAATATTTTGTTGCTTTTATTTTATAATCTATTTTTTCCTTTTTTCTGAGACAGAGTTTTTGCTCTTGTTGCTCAGGCAGGAGTGCAGTAGCGCCATCTCAACTCACTGCAACCTCCAACTACCGGGTTCAAGCGATTCTCCTGCCTCAGCGTCCTGAGTAACTGAGATTAAAGGCATGCACCACCTAATTTTGTGTTTTTAGTAGAGACCGAGTTTCTCCATGTTGGTCAGGCTGATCTGGAACTCCTGACCTCAGGTGATCCGCCAGCCTCAGCCTCCCAAAGTGCTGGGATTATAGGCGTGAGCCACCGCCCCTGGCCTATTTTTTTCTTTTTTTATTGATATGTAACGTACATAGTTTCAGGGTACATGTAATTTAATACATTAATATAATTTTTAAGATAAATCAGCATACTTGGGATAGCCATCACCTTAACTACTTCGCAGCTGAACGGTGCAGCAATTATTACTGAATATTATCACTTTAATATTTATGCCAGGAACATTTGAATTTAGCTATTTTGAAATGTACAATCAAATATTATAAACTCTGGTCACTCTCCAATCTAACAGTAGGTCTCATTCTATTATTATCTGCTTTATATTTAAAGAGTTTTGGTGCATTTCAGAATCCTTTCTTTTAGACTTTTTTGACAATTTCACAAGGCATTGTTTAAGAGAAAAATTGTGTGTGTTTTGTGAAATAGCTTTGACAAATAACAGGTTAAAATAGTGCTATATAAAAACAGATCTTATTAAAGCAAAAGAAACTACTGTGCACTGCCCCTTGTTTTCCTGTAGGCTTACATATATGTCACTTAGGAAGAAGTTTTCATCCTTGAGAAAGCCAAAAAAAGTGTTTGTACTTCTAGAAATTATTTATATAAGCTTCATCAGTTTAGTATTTAGTGTTTTCTGCCCAGTCCTCTCTATAAGCTATTTCTTTCTTGTCACTTTTGAATGTAAATGAAATGAGTAAAATAAAATTGGCACCAGCAGTTTTTTAAATTGGCTTTATTTTTTTTTTTTTTTTTAGAGACAGGGTCTCATTATGTCACCCACGCTGGCGGGCAGTGGTGAGATCATAGCTTACTTTAGCCCATTCCTGGGCTAAAGCAATCCTCCATGCTTAGCCTCCTGAGGAGCTGGGACCACAGGTGTGCACCACCATACCAGGCTCTTTTTTTTTTTTTTCCAGAGATGGGGATTTCACTATGTTGCCCAGTTAGTCTTAAACTCCTGGCCTCAAGCAGTTCTCCTGCCTCAGACTCCTAAGTAAAAAAAGGCTTTTTTTTTTTTTAAAGCAAAATAATTATTTGGAAATTAATAATCACATACAAGATAACTGAAGGGGCAATATGTGTGTATTATCTACTTATATAATTTACATGCATCAAAAACATTCCATTTATTGGATTTAAGTATAGCTATAATGTATTTAGATAATGATGGCATTTAAGATATATTTAATATTTACATGTAAAGTTATACTTTCCTCCTCCGAAATATCTGAGTTACGGAATCTGAGGAAGTCATATCTTTTCTACCCCACTGCCTTTAGGCTGAATTTTCATTGTGGTTAAAACTGTACTTTTTTCTTCCTTCCGTCTTTCCTTCCTTCCTTCCTTCCTTCCTTCCTTCCTTTTTTTTTTTTTTTTTTTTTTGACAGTGTCTTATTCTGTCGCCCAGGCTGGAGTGCAGTGACTCAATCACAGCTCACTGCAGCCTCCACCTCCCGCCTCAGCCCCCTGAGTGGCTGGGACTACTTTGTAGAGACAGGGTTTCACCATGTTACCCAGGCTGAAAACTGCACTTTTCTTAACTTAATTTTGTTAGGTTCAGTTAAACAACTCCTGCTCAAATAACTGGATTCAAAAAGTGATGTTCAGTAGATGGCATCTTTGGAAACAGGCATGATGACCCATGAAGTGTACATGCTTGGGTTACTGCAGAGAAGGTGCTGTTACTTGTAGAAATTTCTCTTTGCTTTTTTAGGTGATAGCATTGGTAACCTTCCTGGAATGGTGATGAGGAGAATGGAAACACCTCCTTCTAGCCGTAGCGTAAC